CCCCTCCCCCTCCCCCCCCTTAGGTTAGTGCCACTGAATGAAGTGTCTTTAGACCTTTACTAAAGGGGGGAATATTATTATGATGTTCTTGTGCACAGCAGAATTGTAAATTGGCTGATTTATCAATGTCATGTTCATAACTGTACCGGAACAACAAACCTTACTTTAAAAAAAAAAAACACGTTCAACTCGGTGCTCCCGCCTCTTTAAAAAAACAACCCAAAAAAACGTTGTAGTGTTGAAAGGGGTTTTAAACTTATATCATTTCATCATAAGATGGAAAAGAAAACCCGCAACAATTTTGAAGGCGGGATAAAATTATTCACAATCGTAGTCCAGAGTGGTAGTCGTTCTTGACGATGTCGACTATCCAGTCCAGGTAGGCTGAGACGTTGGTGAACACAGTGGGTAGAGGGTACGTCTCGTTTCGCTTGCAGCCTTTGGGTCCGAATGACGTCAGGCCTGCCAGGTAGTTTCGACCACCGAACTGACAGTACAGAGGCCCACCAGAGTCGCCAGCGCAGGCAGAGCTGGGGTTGTACCTGACGTCATTGCAGATCTGGTCTGACGTCACGTTCTTCGGATGGTGGAATTTAGCCCAGACGTCGGTGCATTCTTGTGACGTCATGATTGGGACGTGCGCTTCCTGGGGACGATTACAATTGTATGAATTCGACTTTTAAATAACCTGGGACGATTACATTTTCATAGATTGTTCTCTTTAACTTAAGCGCGATTACAATTGTATAGAGATTCGAATCTTTAACTTCAAGCCAATTACAATTGATAGAAAGAACAACAATAGAAGAAAAAGATGTTTTTTAAAACTGAGATGTTTACGGTTTTTTGTCACGACGAGGTGGAATAAGACGTTTGTTAGTTTGGGGGCTTGAGGAGTTATTAGTAGAGGTATCATCTGAAAGATGATTCGTTTGCCTTACTTTCATTGAAATAAATATCCATCTATCTTGAATAGAACTCAAGATATTTGTGATTGAAGGAAATGAGGTCACATGGTTTCAGTGGTGAAATTAACGAGAAAATGGCCGCCAAACAGAAAATGACACGCTGTGTGCCTTCAATTTATGTTTTTCAGCAAATTCACATGGAAAGTATTTTTATATGGACATATAAAAGAGGTTGAGCCAACACACACAAAAAATTCAATAAAAATCTCCGAACTGGCGAAAAAATGCATGTTTTTTGTTTGTTTTTGTGTTTTTTTCGTTTTCTGTATTTTGACGAGCGCTTGATTTCACCAATCTGCCTCAAATGTGTGTGTTATCGAGTCAGTGATCTCCGTTTCATGACTCCTCCTCCCTCTCCTCCCCTCCTCTCCCTTCTTCTCTCCTTTTCTACCCTCCTCCCTCCCTTCCTCCCATCCTCCCCACCCTTTACCGTATCTTATCCTCCTCACCCTCAGCACAGACTCGTCTCCAGTCCCATTGTACTCCCCTCCTCCTCCCTCTCTTCCCCTCCTCTCCCCTCCTCTCCCCTCCTCTATCCTCCTCACCCTCAGCACAGATTCGTCACCAGTCCCCTTAGTACTCCCCCAGCCCTCTCCTCCCCTCCTCACCTCTCTTCTCCCATCCTCTCCCCTCCTCTCCTCTCCTCCCTCTTCTCCTCTCCTCTCCCCTCCTCACCCCTCCTCTCCCCTCCTCTCCCCTCCTCCCTCTTCTCCTCTCCTCTCCCCTCCTCTTCCCTCCTCTATCCTCCTCTCTCCTCCTCACCCTCAGCACAGATTCGTCACCAGTCCACTTTGTACCCCCCTCCTCCTCTCTCCCCCCTCCCTCCTCCCTCTCCTCCATTCCTCCCCCCTCTCCTCCTCCTCACCCTCAGCACAGATGCGTCTCCAGTCCCCATTGTGCTTCCCCAGCCCACGATGAAACATGTGGCGTTCTCGTCAATCCGCGTCTGCGGGTCCAAAATGGTGACCGGTACGACAGCTCTAGAAAGCTTCACAGGACTCACCACCCTGAAAGTGAAAGTTTAGTTAGTTACAGTACGGTAGTAAGCGTTTTACTGTAGGCCTACTTGAAACACAATAAGGTCTTATATATTAAATGTAATACGCTTTGAGCATTTTCTAGAAAACGAAAAAGCGCATCATAAATGCTATATATTATTTGTTATTAGGTGCCGAAGATTAGACGTGTTACAAGAGAGTAACAAAAATAAAACAAACCAAAAAAATGGAAGGGAGGTAAGTAAAGGATGATAGATGTTTTTTGTTTGTTTGTTTAGTATAGGGTTTTACGGCGCTCGCAACTGCATAAGGTCATATGAGCGCGTGGAACACACCTAATACTTTTTCGTTGGTAGGAAATTTTGAATTTTGCCCGGGTTGCGGCCGAAGCCTACTCTTATCGATTTTAGACCACCAAGGGATCTTTAACGTGCGCAACTTGCACACGGGCCCTCCGAGATTTTTCGCCCTTGTCCGAGAAGGCTAGGTGTAGATCTTTCCTACCAGAAGATCAAGGGTGTGGCAGAAAGACAGCAGTAAGGAGGAGCCAAGGAGTAGCAGTAGAAAGGCTGCAGAAAGAGTCAAAGAGGGGGCAAAGGAGGTGAGGGGGTGGGGGCAGAAAGTGGAAATGAAAGCAGACAACAGAACATTGTTAGAGATCAGGAAAGGATGTGAAAGGAGACACTTTTAGAGAAGAAAATATTTTGGTCGCTACCCGGAATCGAACCCGGGACCTTTGAATGAGAGGCCAACACCTTAACCTCTAGGCCACGAGAGCCCCCTGATAGATGTTTGGTAGGAAAGAAGGAGCAAACCCGGAAAGTTTGGTGAACATTCACTAGAGCAGATACAAAAGCTTACCCACCAAAACCGATGCCACGTAGCTACCTTAGAACTACAAAGTCCTCTCCTTAGTTTTGTTATAGTAAACGTTTTACGGCACTTGCAACACATCATCATCATCATCCAGTGCCAGATCTGCGACAGACATCGGCGATCATGATTTTCCATTCATTCCTTTGCTCGGATGCTCTCAGAAAAGCTACGTTTCCCTGATTTTTCCCTCTTACCCATTTGTTTAGGTTCCCTAAGTATGTTGTTCTGGGCCTACCTTGCAACACAATAAGGTCATATAAGTAGAAAGATTAGATTTTTAGTTTAGTTTTAGTAAGAGTTTAAGAGTTTTTCGGCACTTGCAACTCAACAAGGTCATAAGAGTGGTGAAGATTAGAGGTGTTACAAGAGAGGAACAAACACAAAAAAGAAGGAGGTGAGATAAAGACGATAGTTGTTCGATAGGACAGAAGAAGCAAACCACACCAGAGCACCCGCCAACCACCCTAGAAGTCCTCTTTGCTCAGTTCCTAGCTTTAAAAAATTATTCGACGTTAAAAAATACGACTTTCACAACACCTCAAGCTGTTTCAAATGCAATTCTTTGAATATTATCTTCTTGAAAATGACTCCGAATAATCTTACGATTTTGCAAAAGCAGACAAAAGTTTGATGTCTGACCTCATGATCTTGGTTACACAAAACGGCCAGAAATGTCAGATAGAATTTTGTAATTCTGATGTATTAAATTGTCCAAGACGGCCACCCATCGTCGAGGAGAAAAGTGATTGTCTTAAACAGGAGGACGTTTTAGACAGTGTCATTTTAATGTAAGTTTAGTTAAGTTTTACGGCGCTCGCAACTGCATAAGGTCATAATATAGTGTAAAGCGCATAGAGCCTGCTGTTGAGCGGGGATATGCGCTATACAAATGCTATCTATTATTATTATTATTATATGAGCGCCAAGGGGTGGATGTCAATAGAGAAGTCCAAACGGGGAATCAGGCTTACTCTGCTCACCTCTCTAGCCCCAACAGCATAAAGTCTGCTTCAACTATAAAGTAGTATAATGGCATCCCGGAAATACCAGTTCACAAGAGAGGGGTAAACATACAAAAGAAGTAGAGGGAAAATGACGATAGTAAGAAGGAAGAAAGAAAAAGCAGCAGTTCCCCCATGTTGTTCCGGCACAGTTATGAGTATGACATTGATAAGTAAGATAAGATATGATAAGATACATCTTTATTGTCCAGATCCTGGCACATTGGATTGGTGTTCCACCACGAGTACACACACACACACACACACACACACACACACACACACACACACACACGTGCACACACATGCACACACAAGTAGGCTTACAATCACATGCATAATATAAATGAGCAGCAATATAAACAATAATAATCGTAAGCTAGATACACACTCAAAGTTATTTTGATGCATGCTCTAAAATCAGCCCATATACAACTCTGCTGTGCATGAACATGTCAACATCCCCCCTTTAGGGGAGGGGGGCTACACCCCCAAAATCAAAATTCGGCTCAAAATCATGGAATTTGAGTTGTAGGCATTTTTAGCTTCCTCAGCCTCTCCTACAACTATTTCATGGCATAAGAACCCCAAAAACCGTATTTTTTCCCATACCGGGCATGTTTGTTACCACCATTTCCTCATAAAGTCAATATTTTATTTTTCTTTATCGGCCGTTTTCTCAAAATGCTACTTTTGTCTATACTTTTTTGAATAACTCCACCATTTTTCAACCAATCTTTATGAAATTTTCACAGAATTAAGAGAAGAGGTAATACTAAAAATTTGTCTGTTGAATTTTTGATATATGGAATAGATTTTTGGTGGTGGTGTCTGGAGTGTGGATTTTCACGGATGTTTCGCAAACTTGAATGCTACCTCAGGAAAAAATTCATAAAAAATGTTCTAATTCGATTAGGGAAAAAACAACAGACACATTTTTAGATCTAATGTTTGTAAACACGCATGCAAAAAAACAATCAATTTACATGAGTGATAAATGCGGTATTCATTACGTAAGACATGTCAATAAAATCCAATATGGAGGCGTATCCATGGAAACGAAACTTTTTTCTCAAATTTGATTGCGGATTTCAAGACTCCTTACTATGCTTGTTATATGTGTGAAATGTGGTAAAATTCGGTCCAGTAATAAGCGAGATAGCCTCCAGGTGTACCCCGGCCCTCATTGTGATTTAAAATTAAACGCATTTTCAATGTCCTGTTGACTGCACTAGGTGCGTCTGTGGTGGAATTAAGCGCATTCCCTTTTTTTCTACCATACATCAGCGGTGAGTTTGATCTAGGGCTGGGCAATGAGTCGTTTTAGCAAAATCCGGATAATATGTTAGTGCACCTCTTCGGTAAATAATATGTTATGAACCGATTCGGCAAATGGGTTAGAACCACTTTGATAAACGGGTTAGCATCACTTCAACAAATGGGAGCACCAACTTCGGCAAACGGGTCAGGAAAGAGAGTTAAGAGTCTGAATTCGGATGATGTCTTATTGAGGATTATCCTATTATTCGGATATTTATCCGGATTCTGCCCACCTCTAGTTTGACCCCAATAAAAGGAAGATCTAACTTTACGTGGTACGTCATCCGTCTTGCACCACAAGCAGGTCACACGAGGGACTTTTATATTATAATATAGCGCATTTATCCTTGCTTTGCTCTGCAATAATTATGGTCTAGATGTTTTACAATTGTACACCTGAGAACAATATCAAGATCAAGTCACATTTAGATGGTTTCGAGAGAATGAGCAAAAACATCATTCGGGAAATACAGACACGTGAGCTGTGATTAGTGGGCTTAATACGCTTTTTTCTGGACTTGACCTTGTTGTTGCATTTAGGCTTCACATCTTTTAACAAGAATAAATGGTCGTAGGAACAGAATAGCGCTTCGTTAGTGTCATTAATAGATAGCTCATGGTCGTCACTTTCGAATCGTATGCAGAACTCTATTTTTAAGAAAATGTGACTTAACCTTGTTGTTTTTCCCAGGTCTTCTATTGGTCGCTTTGAAGCGCAAGGGGGCTATCCCGAAAAATGCTGTGTTGAGAAAATTGACAGTAAAGTTTTTGCCCCTTGTTCAGTTTATTAAAAAGACAAGGAGAGTTTTCTCTATAACCAAGCAAATACGTGTATACACACTAATGAAACCAAAGTTCTATAGTTAGAGCAACGCCCATTTTTGGTGTAGGTCAAGATTTCTGGAAACCCCCGAAATCTGGGTTAGCCCGTTTGTCCTTAAAAGCGACCTATTATTTGTTTTGTTTGTGTAAAGGGAAGCACATGGACCCTGTAGCAGTCTCCTACAGCCTGTGTTTACATGTGCACCCAAAGACTCACTTGAGGAGGGCTATGTCATTTGCAAAAGGCCGGCCTTTGTTGTACTGACTGTGCCGTATTGTCTTTATAATGAACCGGCCTTGGGTGTACTGCGTCCTGTGTAGAGAAGATACGAGATACAGCTGCAACCTCGCCCACCCACACTCCATCAAAACATAGTTATTGCTAAGGTGGCGATAAATATACAAAGAAATAAAAAAGTAAATAAATAAATTTCAGTACATAAAAGATGGATGATTAAATAATTAATAAGTGAATAAATAAATAAATAAATAAATGACTGAATGACAGTATGAATGAACTAATGAATGAATCAAAACATCAAGCAAGCAAGCAAGCAATCAATCAATCAATTGATCAATCGATCCAAAAAAATCAAGAGGTAAAAGTAGAGGTAAGTGTAGGGGTAGAAGTAGGGGTAGGGGTATGGTATGGGTAGGGGTATGGTATGGGTAGGGGTATGGTATGGGTAGGGGTATGGTATGGGTAGGGGTATGGTTGGGGTAAAAGTGTGGGTATTGTATGGATAGGGGCATGGTAGAGTAGGGGTAGGAGTATGGGTAGAGGTAAGAGTAAGGTTTAATGGTAGGCGTTGGGATAGGGGTAAGTATTGGGTTTTGGGGTAGGGGCACGGGTAAGTGTTAAATTTAGAGGAAGAAATAGGGTCAGGACAGTAAAAGGAATAAGAGGCACAGTGGTTTCCAAACCGTGCCATCCTCCTTAGTTTTTAGAAAGAGCTTTACGGCACTTGCAATGCTTGCAACACAATAAAGTCATAAGTGCCTAAGATTAGAGGTGATACAAGAGAGAGTAACCAACACAAAAAAGAAGGAGGGGAGATAATGACGATAGATGTTGGATAGGAAAGAAGGAGCAAGCTACTCCAGAGCAAGGTAAGGGTAGGGGGTAAGACAGTAAAAGTGATTTGTGTCATCGGCTGAGTCCATACTAGCTAGTGACGTAGAACGCACTGAGTTGAGGTTTCCAAGTGTATTCTCCCTTGCGTTTGCCACTGTGCAGCCTGTTTTCTATTTTTGGTTTGGCTGCTCTTATTGGCCCACATGGGCAAATAAGCTGGAGCTTCTTGGCCCACATGGGCCATTTAATTTTAATGCGTTGTTTTTCAAAGTATTTCATACATGGTATTGTCCCAACTTGTTCTCTAGCTTCTTAGCTATTGTTCATCTTTTTATTTTTAGCATTAGATTGGAAAACTGTACATTCTCAATTTAAAATATGTGATTGATGGACTAATTTGTTGAGCTATTTTTGAAGATGAGATGACTTTTCGTTCTTTCTCTAGTTTTTGATTAATAAGATTAAATAATAAATAATAAATACGACTATTACTATTAGCATACGGTATCCTTAATAACACAAATGAGTTTTTGTTATCTTTTAGGATTTTGTTGGTTTGGGAGTCATATCTATACTCCTTAATTTTATCGGATAGTAGAAATTGACTTACTTTCAGGAGTAAAATATAATATTAACTTAAGCCTTAGAGAAGTGTATAATTATAATATAAAATAATTTCTCTGATATTTAATGGGGATTTTGCAGTTGTATTTTCATTGAAAAATTATCATTTGTGGATTGGGGGGGGGGGGCCCGCGACAAACACAGGGGAGATAACTCACAATTTTGTGGGCAAATAATAAATGTTGTAGGGGAAATTGTATATGCTCCAGTGGGCCAATAAGCACTCCGTTTTGGTTTTTGTTTAATTCAGGTTGGATCGTCCATATTTTATTAGGCGGCATACTAGTGGTTGTGTACATGTGGTCAGAATAGGCATATTATTCATTTTATTTCCTTTAAATAGAATTTTGTCAAGTAGGACACACCGGAATGACTGGGTTTGTTTTGTTTTAGCTGAGGTTTTACGGCGCTCGCAACTGCATAAGGTCATATGAGCACCATCACTGGGGCTCTCGTGGCCTAGAGGTTAAGGTGTTGGCCTCTCATTCAAAGGTCCCGGGTTCGAATCCGGGTAGCGACCGAAAAAATGTCTTCTCTAAAATTGTCTCCTTTCACATCCTTTCCTGCTCTCTACCAATGTTCTGTTGTCTGCTTTCATTTCCACTTTCTGCCCCCACCCCCTCACCTCCTTTGCCCCCTCCTCTGGGCTCCTGACTCTTGCTGCAGCCTTTTTACTGCTACTCCTTGGCTCCTCCTTACTGCTGTCTTTCTGCCACACCCCTGATCTTCTGGTAGGAAAGTTCTACACCTAGCCTTCTCGGAGAAGGGTGTAAAATCTCGGAGGGCCCGTGTGCAAGTTGCGCACGTTAAAGATCCCTTGGTGGTCTAAAATCGATAAGAGTAGGCTTCGGCCGCCACCCGGGCAAAATTCAAAATTTCCTACCAACTGAAAATAGTAGGTGTGTCCCGCGCGCTCATATGATCTTATGCAGTTGTGAGCGCCGTAAAACACTTTACAAAAACAAACAAAACCATCACTGAGTTTGTTTTGACAAGTGGTATCCAAACTGGTTCATCCTCCAACAACCCGGGGCTTGCTGCTGTACCCTTCACGTAAGCTGTGCTGAGCAAAGACGGCGTAGCGCGCTCTGCAGTGTGCGGCGGTCAGTACCCACAGGTCAGTGATCAGGACCCCGCCACAGTGGATGCTGTCCAAGTTATCACGGACCAGCCGGACGATGGAGGGATAGCTCAGGGGTTCGGTCTCATGACCTGGGGCAAAGAGGGAACCATTGGGGTTTATTATTACAGTATTTTTGTTTTAATGTTATTACTGCTCTTTTTAAGATGTAAAAAAAATTATTATTTTTAAAATTTTCATTACTATTATTATTATTATTATTATTATTATCATAATTATTATTATTATTATTATTATTATTATTATTATTATTATTATTATTATTATTATTATTAATATTAATAATAATAATAATAATAATAATAATAATAATATTATTATCATCATTATTATTATTATTATTATTATTATTATTAGATAGTAGTAGTAGTAGTAGTAGTAGTAGTAGTAGTAGTAGTAGTAGTAGTAGTAGTAGTAGTAGTAGTAGTAGTAGTAGTAGTAGTAGTAGTAGTAGTAGTAGTAGTAGTATCATTATTATTGCCATTATTTTGTTGTTGTTGTTGTTGTTGTTGTTGTTGTTGTTGCTATTATTATCATTTATTATTTTTATCGTTATTAATATTGGAGTGTTCACGTGACTTCAACAAAACTAGTGCTTTATTTTTCCCTTTATTTGCACGTTCATGGTGCGTACTAGAGGTGGGCAAAATCCGGTTAATCTATAAGGATAACCGGATAATTCTCAATGAAACATTATCCGAATTCAGACTCCTAACTCTCTTTCCTGACCCGTTTGCCGAAGTGGATGCACCCATTTGTTGAAGTGATGCTAACCCGTTTGTCGAAGTGGTTCTAACCCGTTGGACGAAGCGGTTTATGTCATATTATATTTGCACAAGAGGTGCACTAACATATTATCCGGATTTCGCCAAAAGCGACTCATTGCCCAACCCTAGTGCGTACCAAAAAAACTAGTTTGTTTTGTTGGGTTGATTTTTTTGTTTTTTGTTTTTGCTTTTTGTTTTTTATTTATACAAGACAAAGGGGCTTCGACCATGACAATGCGTGGTCTAGAATATTATGATTAAAATCTATGGATTAGGACACCGAATAAATTAACTCAATGACGCCGCGAAGAAGTTGAGAACTCAATATTTTCCACGTGACACACAAAGAGCCGGGATATTACATCACAGTCAACGGTGTCGTAAATCAAACGAAGAAAAAAAAAGGAGGGGACAAATACAGTATATTATTGTACGTGCATATCGGAATGGGTGAGGTGCAGAAATCATTTCGTTAAGTACGAATTTCGTTATGTGCGTATTTAGAATGCAAAAAATTCCACGTACGATCAAGAACACATCCAGTGCCGGAAAATCTGTTCGCTATGTGTTTGTTTTGCTTTGTACCTGTTTGCTCTGTGGGTGCTAAATCGTAATTCATTCACCCCCGTCTTCGCCGATTTGAGCACTGTAAGCCTGCGTGTCTGTGCATGTTTGTGTGTGTGTATGTTAATGTGTGTGTATGTTTGTGTGTTTATGCATGTGTGTGTGTGTGTGTGTGTGT